ATGAAATAATAGGACACCTACTAGGTGTGTTTCTGTGGCTTATGGATGTCATATGAAGAGGGAGCAGCAAACTGAATGTGATTCCTTTGGGTGGCAAGAAATGGGGGAAAACATCATAGAACTGAGTAGAGTCTTAAAGCATAGCATGCCGGCAAGGTCTGAAAAAAGAAAGCAGCGAGCTGTCCTGATTCATTCCCACTGCATCACGCGGTACCCCAGCTCACTGGGGTAATGGCTGATGTTTCAAATATGGGTCCATTTATATGGATTTTTCCCACCTGCACAGTTTTGTCAACTCTTTTTGTTTATATCTGTTATAAAACTAAATGAATTAACATGGAAATGGAGACAACATAGATGATACCTCCTGCCACCATTCTCTTTGATTTATATAAGGCCCATTATATAAAAAACAAAACAGACAAGGTATTTACTCTCTTGAATTTATATTCTGGTGGTGATACATACAAAAGAACAATGAGGATAAAAAAAACAGGATAATTCAGATAGAGATGGGCCTAGATGTTGGAGTATTATAATTTGAGAAGAGAACTGGCTTCAGAGAGTGTGGTCAGGGGAAGGCCTCTCTGAGGACAAGACCCTTGAGTTTAGCCTTGAGTAGAGGAAGAGAGCCATGCAATTTCCTGGGGGAAGAGAGTTTTGGATGCAGGAAAGGGGCAGTACGGAGGTCCACAGATGAGATGAGCTCCTGTGGCTGGAGTAGAGGAAGTGAGGAAGAAGGGGAGTCAGAGATGGAGACAGAGGCCGAAGTCCATAAGGCCCTGTTTGGATCTTCTCTAAAAGCCATTTGAATGTTTTGCAATGAGGGGAGAGCAATGGTGATAATATGAGAAAAGTTTATGAAATGATCAGCCTGCTTCTGTGTGAAGTGCAAAGTTGGCAGCAGGGAGACCTGCCAGGGGACAGTTAGAGCCCAGAGATAATGGATTAAGGTGGTGATAGACAAGCTTCCAGGGGATCCTGATGCTGCCAGTCTGAGGACCATATTTTGAGAAGCACCATCCCTTTCAGTGGTTCTCAAACTTGGCTGCACATCAGAATTACTTAGGGAATTTAAGAATCCCAATGCCCAACTTGTGCCCCATACCAATTATATCAGAATGTTTGTGGGGTGGGACCAAGGCATGGGTGTTTTCTGAAACTCTTCAGTGATTCAAATGTACAAACAAGCTTGAGAACTTGTGGCTACAGGTACTGACAGGATGAGCCAATCAGCGACTCAGCTGTGGAGTCTGCAGGCAAGAGCATCTGTGGAATGCCAATGGCCTGTTTTTCTTAAAGTTATGGTATGGGGTGGGGAGAGGACCTGTTTTCTGGGGATGGGGCTGTTTCTGGGTGAAGAGACCCACTCAAAATTTAGAAGTGGAAAGTTCAATAAGAAAAGTCTCCATTAGGGCGCCTGGGTGGCTCCGTTGGTTAAGCGTCCCACTGTTGATTTCGGCTCAGGTTATGATCTCAGGGTCCTGAGGTCCAGCTCTGCACCAGGCTTCCTGTTCAGCAGGGAGTCTGCTTGAGATTCTCTCTCCCTCTGCCTCTGCCCTCCTCCGGCTCATGTACTCTCTCTCTCTCTCTCTCTCTCTCAAAATAAATAAAATCTTTAAAAAGTCTCCACTTGGCCATGTTTTCTGTTTCCTATTCTATTTCAAAGAAGGCCGATAGTCTGCTTACCCTCTCCAGCCTCTGTGAGTCCCTTGTTTAACTCCTCTCCTGCTTTCAGAGCTGGACCCTATGATCTGGAAGAAACAGAGTACAAATCAAGCCTAACTGCAGCTCATAGCTCATAAACTAAAAGTAAGCAAACTTGATTATGCTTATGCCATGCTGTACAGCATGACAACACTCTGAACTTGGTGGTATATTTAAAATCACAAATGTATGTTATGCTTTCCCCCCCGCTTAGTCCTCCAAGCCTTCATTGCTACATGGCCCCCTGCTTTTTCACTTGTGTATTCGACGTTTATGGGTTCTTAATTTTTAATAAATGAGATATTGATTTGTTCTGCAAAATGCTCCAGCAGGTAAATCTTAATTGACTGTTCCTAAAGACCCAGGTTATAAAAAAGCCATCAGATCCCACAATTACACCCTTTTTTTCTTCAAACTTCAGGAGACCTGAAAAGGCATTCTCACCTCCATGGCATCCTCCAGAATGGCTCAACCCCCTTAGGAACAGAAGCTTCCCTCGCTCCTAGAGATGTCCAACGGAACTCTGACCTCTCCCAACCCATCATTTCCGGAGTGAATTTTTCAACTCAGACACTTCGATTCGGCTTGGGGGGCTCTCAGCTCTGTGCACGTGCACACACTGGGGAGGGGGGCAGTTTTCTAGAGAATCTAGGGATCAAGTGCCTCATGTTGATCAAGGAAAAGGGTGAGGTTTCAGAATGTAAAGGGATTACTAGAGCCCTGTGGCCTGCCCACATGAGCAGGAATTTTCTATGCGATAACTGTAAAATCACATCTATGCTGTGTACCTTACTGAAATGTTTGCTTGTTGACAGCACAGAAGTGAGGCGGAGGGAAGATGGCAGGGTTGTAGGATGGGAAGGATCATCTGAGTATTACATTCCAGAGTATGCAACTGTATCTTCTGGTCAGATAATTAAACATTAACTTATGACACTAAAATTTAAACACGTGGTTATTAAACTAATGCATGAGGCCATTGGGTTAAACAGAAAAGCCAATCTGTAGTTGCATTCTTGGTCCTGGGTCTGTACCTTTGAGTTTTGAGGCATGGAATAAAATGTTCATTTTTCAAAATATGGCAAAAATCAGGACTTAACACCACCATTAAGGCCTAAACATCTTATGAATAAGAATCTTCAGGAGGTCTCCTGTTCACACTGCAGCAATGTTCTAAGTGGCCCTTGAGCCATTCACAACCAAATGCTCTCTAGATATCCTGAATAGATTAGTGCCAGCATTTGGTGGTGGGGTAAACCTAATTGTCTAGTTACTGCTTCCTTAATTTGATTATAGTTTTCCCCCAGTTTGGCCTACCTGCTGTAATAACGGTTATCCTGTCAAAAGGAATTATTTCATACTGTGCAAAGATTCAGTCGGGGCAGCATATGGTGCTATGCAAATCAGCAAGGATGAGGCAAATCAGCTCAGATGGAATCTAAATGAGATGACATAGGCTGATATCATCAAACCAGGGAACCCCAATCCAACAAATTGCAGAACGATTACTGTGCCCTGGGAGATGAAGCTAATACAATTATCTCTGTTTTCTCTAAACACATATATACACATGCACTTTTATGATTCTTTTTTGAGAAAATGATTGCAGTATGGGGGGAAATCAAGCAATATAGAGTACAAAGAGCAAAGTAAAAAAACTACATGAAGGCACCCCAGTAGAAATAACCCCTAATAGAGGTGTCAGGGAACTTAAGGGAACATCATTTCAGTGATCTATATACAGATAGAAGAAACAGGGTTGGAGAATGAACGGGGGGGGGAAATCGGAGGGGGAGACGAACCATGAGAGACTATGGACTCTGAGAAACAAACTGAGGGTTCTAGAGGGAGGGGGGTGATTCTAGAGGGGAGGAGGTGGGGGGAGGGGTTAGCCTGGTGATGGGTATTAAGGAGGGCACGTATTGAATGGAGCACTGGGTGTTACATGCAAACAATGAACCATGGAACATTACATCAAAAACTAATGATGTAATGTATGGTGATTAACATAACATAAAAAAAAAGAAACAGGGTTGGAAGTTACTAGACAAGCTATTTTTATTAAAATGTATTAAGTTTAACTTACCTAAATGTTAACAGGATAAAAGCCAATAAAATAAAACATACCGGTCTTCAGATAATTTTTTTTTTAATTTCTAAAAGATGCTTAAAATTTGAAAGGGAAGATTATGGATAGCATTTATAGCTTGAGAATTTTTTTTTGTTTTTTACAAAACTTCCTTTTTGACTTTCAACAGTGTTTATCGATTCTCTGGTATAAATTATAAGGAAATTAGCATCCTGCTCTTTCTCTCCATGTCGTGATTATTATTATTTATGGTAATTAATTGTGCCCTAACTTTTGTGAGGTTTGAGGCAACAGTAAAATAAAAACTCACTTAACCTGTGCCTAAACATTTAAGTATTATAAATGCTAGCTCTTAAGTGAAATTCTCTTTATCTTCCTACTTTGACAAATATACCTTCATAAGACAAAACTAAAAAACGTGTAAAACTATAGTTTCTGCATATGGCTAAAAGTTGGCGAATATCATAGAGAATTGAATATAATTATTTTTGCTCTGACTGATGTGTTTCAATGTTTAAATAAGTGATCAAGTACATACACAATTTATGAAGTATTAGGTATTTATTTTTGTATTTTAGCCAAGTCACATATTATGTTTTTATAATTGAAATATTCACATAATTTGTATTCCACTGACAGTAGTGAAATAAAAAATTAACATAAAATGTAATTTTCATATTATATATGCAATTGTTTGGGCCAGAAGTGTAAATTAAGGTAAACATAAAAATAAAGCAATCAAAATTATTTTTCATATGGATTTTTCATGAGTGGTCAACGTAGCTTATCATTAAATGTTGTCATGGAGTAGTGTGAGTTCACTCATATTTTTCTCATACTTATGATTTGCTTGGGTGCCACAAGATTCTTTTTTAAAAATCCTTTATCATGAGTTACTTTGATGTAGATCACTTCATCAGGTTTTCTGTTGTCAGCTGCTTTGTATAGCCTGACACATGGTAAATGCCATACGATATTTTACCATTCCTCCTAACATTTCAACAAAACTTTCTTTTATTAGATCTCTGAATATTTTCAGACTCCATTTGTTTTGTATCCCATGAGAGGCTGTAGAGGACAGCAGTTTGGAACATGGGCCCTGGAACCGCACTGCAGGTGTCAAACATCAGCTCTGCTGCTGACCTTGTAAGAGAACTTGGCCACGTTACTTAATCTCTTTGTGCCTAAATTTTCTCACCTCTTGGGTAAGTCGGCTTGGGCCACTGTAACGAAATGACTGTGGCTTAAATGACAGACATTAGCTTCTCACAGTTCTGGAGTCTGCAAGTATGAGATCAGGGTGTCATCATGGCTGGATTCTGGTGAGCGTCTTCTGGCTCACAGATGGCCATCTCCTCACCGTGTGCTCACATGGTCGAGAGTGAGAGAGAGACAGAGACAGAGTGCGAGCTCTCTGGGGTTTCCTCTTGTAAGGCCACATCCCATTGGATCACGGCCCTACCCTTATGACCTCATTTATTTTAACCTTAATTACCCCCTCAGAGGCATATCTCCAAATACAAACCCTAGGGATTAGGGCTTCAATATATGAACTTGGGGAGAGGGGGACACAAACACTCAGTCCATGATACCTATGAAATGGACATCTACTTTCATGTACCTATGATTGCCTTTGTCCATCTTCTGCCTTTCATAGTTTTCACCGTATTGCTCTCACTTTATTTTTTTAAAATTGTATCTTATGATTCTAAAATGATCACTCCCTCAGGTCTGTTATCCATGTTCTGACAACATTTCCATCCAACTTCTTGCTCTTTGTATTTTCTTTATGTGGATATCTTCTTTGCGATGGTTTGATTTTCCTCTTCTATTTCTTTTCTATGCTCTGCCAGTTCACTTTTCAACTTTTTAGCTGTCTCACCATGAGCTATGTGACATTTCAGTTATTAGAGAATTATTGAATCCAAATTTGTTGGATAATCATAATCTCTCGAGTCCAAATTTGGAGAAAAGTGCCACGCATACCCTGCAGAAGACCGGAGCAAGGTTCATGTAAAGTCTGTACCAGTTTGCAGGATGTACAAGCAGAGTCCTAACCGGGTCTAAGAATATCCAAATTTGGGGTTGCCTTCCTCATGTCTCCCCAGAAGCAGAAGAGAAACTGGAGTCTTATGTGAGGCGGCACTCCCTCTTTCTCCCTTCAAACCAAATAAGGTGGACTATGCAGAAGCCACACTCTCATTCCTGGAGGCCATCGGCTGAACACGTATTGTGTTCCCCTTTAGAACCGGGGCCTGGGCACCACCCATCAAACTTGAGGTCAAACAAAGTTCCTTTTGACCCCCTGTCTGGCCTGCACGTGTTGTTTTCAGGCAGGGCCTGCCCTAGGCACACCTGCTAAGGCTTCCCCTCTCAACCCTTTCCCCTCTTTCTTGCCACCCTGCTCCCTCCCCCATGCATGCCTCCTGTGTTTTCTTTCCTCCAGATCCTGTGTTCAGCTAGCTGTCATTTAGTTGTCGACAAATTGCTGAAAGTATTACCTGATGCCTTTTACTCATCTCACTCAGGAGCATTACATTTTAATAGGCTTACTTAAGACAAGGACATCCACAATACCCAAAGAAATAAATCCTGAACAGTGAATTTTAAGCATCAAGGCTGAAAAAGGGTGCCGGATAGGGCCAGACAGAGATTTTGTAGTTAGGAGGCCCTGATCTTTGTTCTTCAAATCACTGCTCATAAGTCAAGTTCACTTTGGCAGTTCAATATTATTCATTCCCTTCTCTCCTCCCTCCCCTTCCAGGCTGGGTTGCCAAACCAGGGCTCACACACCATTTCTCCTCTGGAGTCCATTCTAGCTCTCAGGTACAGAGGCACAGATTCATTTGCCCCTTCCCCTAAAAAATGCCAGTCCTTCCTCTCTCTCTGCCTCCGTTTAGGCTGACCATTTTGTAGGGTTGCCTTCTTTCTTCTTCTTCTTCCTTTTCCTAAATTTCAAAATGTGACTCATCCCTCTCAGTTCCAACATAAATATCCCCTCCTCTGCAAAGACTTCCCCCAAATTCCTTGGGCAGAGCTCATTAAATCTGCTTCCCGGTACCCCCTGCATCCTGAGGACTTCAGGCAAAGCGTATGCTGAAAAGGGTTTCATTAGTGTTCGTGGTACAGGGTGCCTTCCTAGAGGGTGACCTAATCCTAGTCAACTTGGAATGTTTGGCTTCCAGCAAAAGTTTGGGTACTTCAGCATCCAGTAGAAGCCTCATAGGTTTTTTTGTTTGTTTGTTTACCTGTTTTTAAAGAACGATACTTATAGATTCTGTCATTAACTAGCTCTGTGCTCTTAGTGAAATCATTTCCATTTCTCTGTCCTCCGTTTCCCCAATTTTAAAAATGAGGAAGTTGGACAAGAATTGTCCTAAAGCCTTTCCCAACAATAACATGCTGTGACAGAGCATTGTGGGCCCAATCTCTCCAAAGTGAAGAATTAATATTTTCTTCATTGTATGATAAGAATGGGTTTGTTCTTTGTAAAGAACTGTTGACACATGATTGTGAAAATAAATATTGCCATTTCCACCTACTCATCTGTCCTGGAACCACAAGTTCACATACCAAAGAGAACTGAGAAGGGAGGTGAGAGAAATACTTTCTAAGTTATCAGGGTAGGAGAGCTCCACACCCCAGGTTTATTCAGGGAGTGTTTGCCATGGTTGTCCTCCCACTCTGCAGATGGGCAAGTTCTGGATGGCTTCTCTGGGCAGCATGAGGGTCAAGGGTGGCTGCCAGTGCATTCGGAGATATCATCACACCTGTCCTTCTTGTTTTCTTTGCTTAGAATATTACAATTGAAATGCAGAAGAAACCCTAAGGAAATGTGACGTTGAGAAGGCCCTTGCTCTCTGACCATGACGACAGCAAAGACAAACATGTTCCTCTGATGGTTTCATGTGGTTGCCTGTTCCGCCCAGTCTTGATGGGTCTGAACAAATACCCATCTCCAAGGGAATGACATTAAACCTGACTTTTTCTCTCTGCCCACTATTAAACCTTTTCCCTCTCCTGTACCCACACTCTGCTCCTGTGGCAGATGCTGTGGGGGCTGGGCCCAGATCCCCTTAACCAGCCAGTGCCCAGACCCAACCTGCTGTGAAAGGTGGCCGCTAATGACTCACAGCTACTCCCTTCTCCAGAGAACCACCCTCGGAGGACAGAAGCTGTCTCGCCTGGGAAGATAAACTCCCTCCCCAGAGGCCTATAGCCAGTACCTGATGTACATGGGCTAGAGAAAGGTGACGTCCCTGCCTAAAAGGAGACATGTGTTCTATGTAGCATGCATTCCAGAACCTTTCTCCCATGAATGAGACCAAGGCAAGGCCTTACCTTAGACCACATCCTTGCTAGGCTTCTTCCCCTGCCCTATCCTGTGCCAGGCTCTGCTTCTAAGGAACCCAGCCCAATTCAGCTCATCTCTCCTCAATCTGTCATTCCATATAACCCCCTTCTAGAAAAGCCATTTTAACTGGTAGACAGACTGCTTTGCTGCATGGCTGCCCTTTGGAGGCTCTATGTAATCCTAGCAAATTTCCTCAGTGGTTCATTTATATTTAAGGGGCCAGTGGGTCTTTGGTAATAATGTCTTCAGATCATGGGGGAGGAGAAAATGAGGCCCTGTGCTGTAGTGGAGGAATACTGGCTTAGAATGAAGGGGAACTGGGTCCAGTACCATGACCAGCACTCATTTGGACAGAGGATAAGTTTGTGTAGCTCTTGGGTCTCAGTTTACTCCTCTGTCAAGTGGAGAGAGGGAGAAGGTGAGCCTGAATGAAAGTCCCTTCCTGTTCTGCCGTTTTAGGAGCTGATGATTCACACTCTTTCCATTTCCACCCAGAAGGAGCATGCAGAAGAAATATGTGCATGGGGTGGACCCTGAAGTCTATTATTCACTTTCTGCCTCCAAAGCAGAGAAGCTAAACACACATTTTGGTGATATTTATTCAGCACTTAGTGCCTTCAAAGAACTGGTTTTGGATACCATGATCTAAGTACCTACTTTTTGGTGGAAGCTGGCAGGAGGGCTTTCTCATTTCACCCTGGCAACCACTCTCTTCGTGTCTCTCAGCATTCACGGACTGTAGGAAAGCCTGTTGAAAAAGGCAAAGCCTGCTCAGATCAGCACAGGGCTCCTCCATATAAAGGGAGGGGTGCTTATTGAATCAATCCTGGGCCATTCAAACATTCATTTAAGAAGTGAACTGTTCACTTGTTTTTTCTTTCCTTTTAATTTTCCAAAATGCCTTCACATCCATTCCTCCATCCATTCTTCCTGCGTCTTATAACCTGCTAACTTGCTACTCCTTGTTACCTTGTAAGGCACCTCTATTTGGAAAACAAACAAACAGAGGAAAAGCATGGTTATGTGACTTGATTTTAAAGTCACAGAGCTTTAATGTCAACAGTAGTCCTAGAGCACAATTCTCAGGCTCTTAGCTGCCTGAATTTCTACCAAATTACATGGCCTTTCTCAATAGTTGAGAGTTTGCCTAAGTGTTCTCTAAGGATTTCCAATTCCTTGGAAGGTGGATACTTGTTATGCAGAAGGGAGTGGCCGATGATGAAATAAGTTTGGGAAGTGAATGAGACATTAAGCAGGCTACTTTTCAAAAGATATCTTGGAGCCCTGTGCTACCGAAGTGTTCCAAGGCAAGGCAATGCATGTAGCAACTCCAAACATACATGACCATACAGACCTTTACTTCCAGATCATCTTGCATCTTGGAAAGCACTCTAAGAAAGCATATTCATTGGTGTATATAACACCCAAAATTTGGCTATTTGGATGATTTCTGGTACCAAGTAAGCATAACCTACTATTCAAATTATTCCGTCACCAGTACCCTAATGCCTCAGTTTTGGTTTTTTGTTTTTGTTTTTATTATTCATTTTAGAGAGAGACAGAGAAAGAGAGTGAGCATGTGAGCGGGGAGGGGCAGAGAGAGAAAGAGAGAGAGAGAATCTTAACAAGGTTCCACACCCAGCATGGAACTTGATTCAGGGCTCAATCTCAGGACCCTGAGATCATGACCTGAGCCGAAATCAAGAGTCAGAGGTTTAACCGACTGAGCCACCCAGGTGACCCTGGTTTTGTTTGTTTTTTGAATTGGTGCATGCCTATATGCTAGCAAACCCTACTTCGTTGCAATATGATGAGGACTGACTGACCACCCTTGCACAATTGACTCACACCCCATCCTCACAAAGGCTGCAGTAGGCTAAAGGGGCCTCATGACTTCCAACATTCTGGGCATTCCAGGTATACCACATCTGAAACAGTTTGTAATATCTTAACATTAAACCTCATCCAAGCTGCTTTCCCATGAGAAGCTCCACAGCCCTCCAAAACAGGTTGTCAGCCATCTATAATTACAAGCATTTAATTGTCCACATAGAATAAAATTTCAAGGACTCTCTCACCATTGTTTCCGTGTAGACATATACTTTTTTCAATTAAATAGCAAGTACCTATGTTGGACTCACTTTATACTCCTCTCCAGATTGCTCTGCCCGTCATGTCCCTAGGTCTTGGATTTAGCTCGGGGGACAGCCCCGGCTGTTGCCACCCTGTTTGTTCTCACCACTGGCAGCAGCTCAGGTGCCCTATACAGACTTTGTTGGATCTGCAGAGGTTCAGGCTCTCTTCATTTTGGGACATGGATTAAACACCAGGGCATGAGGCGGGAGTTTGACCCTCTCTCAGAAGGACTAACACAACCTGGTAGTGTGTGTGTGTGTGTGTGTGTGTGTGTGTGTGTGTGTGTGTGTGTGTAGGGGGTGAGGTTGGTGGGATTAACACCCAGTAAGACAACACCTGACCAGTAAGAGGCAGGAGGCAGAAAGAAGCCAACAGGAAAACTCTGCTTCTGCACCCACCCCCCCCAACAGATTGTTCTGAGATTGCTCCTTGTGACATCTCCTGAGCCTTTGTAGCAACCATCTGTGTTTTCTTGTGCAGCTACAGCCTGCTCAGAAGGCACCACCTCTGACTTGTTCTGCCTGCTTCCCTTGCCCGACTTCCTATGCCCTGGAATCCTACCCCCCCCCCGCCCGGTGAAGTGTTGGCATTTAAACCCTGCCTTAAGCTCTGTCTTAGGGAACCCAGGCCAACAGTTCCACACATATCCAAGGGGTTTCCCTATTTTTGAAACAACCATCCTCATAATCACAGCTCATGTATGCCGAACCTTACTATACAGACTTTTACACATAACATTTCTTACTTGCCATTTGAAGAGAATACAGTTCAATAGGCAACTGCTTATAACCCTTTCTTTACCCTTAAGGGTCTTAAAGTAGATCTTTCCCAAAGTCTTTCCTGTAGAGACAGATGTAGAAGTTTGTTAAGAAAATATTTAGGCTCTAGACAAGGATGCTGCCAGGTTTTATCACTGTTGAAGCATGATCGGCTCATGATCTTTGACCCCAATTCTGTTCAAGGGATAAAATGCATTCAGATATGAAGTGGGACTAGCATACTTTCACATGCTGTAGGGGCTGTAGGTTGCACACGGGCCTAGAAAGAAACACAGATTAGTTTAATAATAAACTTCAACATAGCAACAGAAAAAAAAAAGGATTAATTCTCTATGTTTCCATAGTGAAATTATATACAGCTAAATTTTTATGAAAACTTGGTTCTTTCCTGTGGCCTAGATAATATATATATTTCCTGGACTGGAAGTGGGAAGGATTTTTTTAAACAGTCATCTATAGAGATGTTTCTACGAACTAGGAACATAGATTCTTTCTGTTGGCAGCTAGAAGAGCCCCTCTTCCCAGAGGAGTTTATGAGAGTCAGATAGAACAGAATAGGCCAAGCTACTATAACAAGGCAATTATCTCAGTGGCTTTATAATGGTAAAAGCTTGTTTCTTACTCCATGTCCGTCAAGGGTAGGTAGGGGCTCTGCTCCAAGTCACCCTCAAACTGGAAGCAGCCATCACCAGACCACTGACAGTCACCTTGGCAGGAAAGAGAAGAGATGGTTTAGTAACTCTTAAAGCTTCAACAGAAGGTGCCACGATTATTTCCACCCAAATTTTAGTGAGCAAAGCAAGTCAGATGGCCACAGTTCATTTCAAAGTGATTGGCAGACAAGAGTTCTACCAAATGTCCTAAAGGAGTATTAGAATATTTGCTCTCAGCCTTTATGACTGGCTCTAGGCACTGTCAGCAAAGAAAGCAATTACATCCTGTGAAAGGAAAGTCAGTAAACATTTTGCTCTAGGTACAGCTGGCCCTGTCTGAGGTCACAGTGGACATCCGGTTGCTCTCAGACATCGGAAGGTACCACCACACAGGCATAACCACCTACTACTACTACATACACACACCCCTCCTCAGATTGCCTAGGAGAAATGTTTACTTAAACCCCCATAGAAGAGGGAGGAGAACTGGACTCCCCCACTCTGTGTTGAAGAGCTAAGAAGAGGGACAAGTAAAAGCTTCCCAGCCCCCTGTTGGGACAGAACGGTGTTCAGAAATCATGTCCCAATTGTTCTCTGCTGTGCCGAGGGCTTCCCTCTCCTCTTCCTACAGACTTAGCCTCGGCAGTGGAAAGAAGTCCCTAATGATCTGACACCCAGAGTCCATTGCATTCAGGTGCATCACTCTTCTCTGGAAACCTTTGTGAATGCAATCCCTAAGTTCTTTGCAGATAGTATTCTGTCAACCCGGGAGTTGGCTTGTTTTCTGTGGTGCTTTCTTAGCAAAAAGCCATTTTCCCAGAGGGTTCCTGTGAATGGTTCCTATAAACTGGAGTTAAAAGACATCATGGCCAGAGGCCTTTTAAAGAAATTTCTGTTCTTTCTTCTCCAAGCTTTTAAAGATCACATCTTCAGAAGCCATTTTCTTTATCTATCTAAGGCTAAGTAGAGAATTCTATAGGGCAGAGACAGAAGGAGAACATTCTTTATGAAAAAGAAAGGAAGAAAGAAAGAAAGAAAAGAATAAATCATAAAGCATTTTTAGGTACAGGAACCAAGAAACTTTGATACTGGGCGTATTTTTATCACTCTATAAAAATGTCTTTGTTTCTTCTTCAATTCCATTAAATGGGACAAAGGAGAAAAGTACATTTCTCGTTTTCTTCTCTGAGGTTATTCCCCCTTGACACAGCCCACATGCCCAGAGTTTAGTGCATTAGCATCACTAAGATCCACAAAGGTCTTGCCTCCCTGCTCATCACCTTTTAGATCCTCTCTGGCTGCTTGGAAAGCAGGCTGCTGTTTAATGAGACAAATCCCCCTTGGAGGCTCCTCTTCCCTCTAGGAATTCAGTAAGTGCTTTATATAAAACAGTAATAGGATGGCTCAGCCAGACTCTCTGGCTCACATACACTAACTGGTGTTCCCTTTGGGAAGGAAGAGCAGGTAGCCGAGTGATAAGGCCATTAGGACTGACTGCGCCCTGTGAGCTCCGAGTCCCTGAAGCCACTTTTCTTGCCTGTTGTAAGTATGAAAGGAAGTCGGTGAACGGATGATCAGAACGGACTTGCTGGTGGGATGTAAAGATGTCCACGGGCAAACTCTGGATAATAATGGGCAGACAGTGATTTAGTGCTGTGATTATTGCGCAGCGCAGGCCGGAAGTAGTACCGGGCCCCGGAAGCTCAGAGGAGCTACGGAGGAGTGATGAGAAACCAGACGTGGTAGCCCCACGCAGGTGAGAGTGCCTGCTCCTGGCATTAGAAGAGGGGATCCTCTGGGAGGCCTTAGCAACGCCTCCCAGAAGTCCGGGAGACAGCGGGTAACCTCTCACACCTGTGAGAATTTCTCTCCTCCTTACATTATTGCTTCACCTTTGTCCTCTGACTTCGGAGAGTTTTGGCTTCCTTATGACTCCAGACTTTAGGAGTACCTGGGCCTCTGCCTCTGTTGGGTTCTTTTCCCTGAGAAGTTGAGAGATCTCAGTGTTGTATGATCTCAGCAATTTTTAAGACTGACAGTTGGAGTTAGGGAGAAGCTAGTTAAAGCCCCAAGCAGTGTCAGAATGGGATAAGGGGTGAGGGTAGAGCTTGAGATGGAAGTTGGTGGAGCAGAATGAAGAGTGACATGAATAGAGTTGTGTTTTTCTTTTTCTTTCTCTTCTTTTATTATTATTATTTTTTTGCATGGTGTTTATTGATATTTCCCTATCGACTGCACAAATTAGAAATTCTGTTCAAACAGTGAGATGATTTTCAGATATGTCCACAAATTCATTGATATGTCTCCCTTTCAGAGATGGAGACTAATTCCCCTCCCCTTGAGTATGGACTGGACTTAGTGCTTTCTAACAAATAGAATAAAGCACATGGTGTGACTTTGGAGACTAGATCATAGAAGGCCCTGTGGCTTTATGTTTGTTCTTTTTCACTTTCTCACTTTGAGCATTTGTTCTGGGGGCAGCCAGCTGCCATGTCATGAAAACCCTCAGGCAGCCCATGGAGAGGTCCACGCTGTAAAGAACTGAAACTTCTGCCAACAGCAATGTGAGTGTGCCATCTTGGAAGCAGATCCTCCAGTTCCGGTCAAACCTTCATTGCCTATAGCCCCAGTCAGCATCCTGACTGCAGCCTCACGAGAGATCCTGAGCTAGACCACCCAGCTAAGCCACTCCCAAATTTCTGACCAGCAGAAATTTGAGACAATACGTTTGTAGTTTTGAGCCACTAGGTTTTAGGATGATTTCTTTATGCAGTAATAGATACCTCCAGCAACTGGGATTGTAGTCGCCAAGACACAGACTGTGTCCAAAGTAACAGATGACCATTATAAAGTCTGTACCAGTGTTCCTCTAGTGAATGCCACAGTTCATTAACACCTTAAAAATCTAAAGAGGAAGAAAAGGAAAATGAGCCAAAAGCTTTCCATTCGGTGTTTGTTCTTGGCAAAATGAATCTGTTCTTTAAAACATCTCAAAATTTGTTCCAGCGTACTTTTCCTTGGGCCAGGTGAAGAAACCCTCACACTGAAGCTAAATCCAGAGCTGTGGTCATTTATTCAAATAGTTTAGAAGATATATTTTCTTATTCTGGGTTTAGAGATCCTCAGATTGGCAAAACTGGAACAGAAAGGAAGAAGGGAAGGAGGAAAAGAGGAGAGAATTGAGTAAAAGTAAGATCTATAGTTTATATTAGTTTGTCTGTGAAGCACCAAAAAAAGTAAGGAAATCTCATATTCTAGCAGCTAGGGAAAAGGTGTCCTCCTGCAGTTCAAGTTTTTATGAATTTTGTCCCTAAGCTTTTCATACATACCTTGATTTATTAGCCTTTCTCAGCATTATATCTTGTAGACCTGCCAGAAGAACACAGTGGAATGAAACATCTGGCAAATTTTCCCAGATCCTATTATGAAATATCTTCAATTTTCAATTCAGTGAAAAGTAAACAAGTCATTGTCTTCCCCAGAAGTAATTCACTTTGCTGTCAGAGCCCGTGGGCCGAAGGCGATGGAGGTTTCCAAGTCCGTCCTCGGGCTGATGGGCATGTGGGGCGCCGTCTCTTTGCAGTCTGGGTTAGCTGCAAGGTTAGGTAACTCCTGGATGCTCTACCTAAACAAATACATCTGCTTGCTCAGTGAAGTGGTTATTATCTTTTATTTCCAAGTGATCTGCTTTGATGCTCTTAAAGGGTCACTTATGAATTGACATTATATCAGCAAATAGTAATTGCTTAATTTCTGCAAAAATGTCTAGGTTCATTTCCATTCCAACTTTTCAACCCCCCTCCCCTACACACACACGCATACTGCTAGGCTTAAAAAAGCCAGCGAAGATAACATGGCCCCCTCCAGCTGCTTATAGTAGCACATAGCCAGATTCTTTCTCAAAGGAAGAATTCTAGCAGATCTTTTCAATGTCAGTCTGTCCTGAACCTGAATTTAAATGCACAATATTCCTGAAGTCTTTGTAATCATTCGACAGAAAACAATTCCAAATTACTAAAAAAGAGACTATTATGCCTGTGAGTATTTCCAGGGATTTTTTTTTTCCAATAAGGCATCTTTATAGACATAATACACAGAGATACTAAGCAGATACACTTGACTGACAGACAGGGAGGACTGAACCATTAGGACTTGAAACAAGCACCTACTGGCTTTCAAATGTGCTGAGCCTCTTCCAAGACACTGAATGACTTAGGACCAGATGATTCTGTAACTATGCAGATGAAGAAACTGAGGTTGAATATGGGAAAGAAATTCGGTGATTGTTTCACATCAGTGATGTCAGTGTGGTGCAAACAATTCAGATGCAGGATGTCGGGGCAGGGAGAGGGGAGGCAAAGATAAACAACTCCCAAATTAGAGTGGGTGAGTTGATCCTAAAATCAGCACAGCAGCCCCACTGCAGAGACTCAGAAATGACCCACAATAGGACATTTTAACCGTTGCTAACATCTGATCCATTTGAACCATCCAAGGCTGTCTCAGCAATCCGGAAAGTGGAAGGCCTCCTTTCACAACAATGAGCTCTGCTTCATCCTCGGAGAGATTAAATGATAAAGATGTGGGGAGGGGAAGCTACGATTAAGTCCTTTTTGATATTTCTCATATCAAGCACAGTGCTGGGCACATAATAATCGTTCAATAAATATTTGCTGAAATGAAAACATGACATAGTTTCCATCATTTTGGATCATACTCTCTACATTAGCTGTCTCCTTCTTCCCTCCTTCTTCCTTTTGAAGCTAAATGAAGGCAGAGAGAAGCAAGCCCCAGCATTCCCCAACGCGCCTTTCTTGAAGCAAATGAGCCAGCTGGAAACCCTCAAACTTTAGGACTATTGTTCATGCAGTTTCTCTGTCTTTCTCTCATTTTGATTTCACTTTCATAAGCACTAAGCCTATTAATGATTCTGCCCAGGGTGGCAAGCAAGGGAGAGGGAAAGGAACACAACCTGCATTTTGCCTTTCCTTTTCTCAGAGAGCCAAATTATGTTATTTTTGTAA